CATCTATTTAGTCTATTATATAACAAAATAAATGTTAATTCATTCATGGCCTTGATTATCAAAACGTTAGTCCAAGAAAAAAAAAATAAAAATATTTAAAGAGTTCATTTGGCTAATAAAACATTATAATACAAAGCAATCATTATCAAGTATCTTTTCTGTATAAATTAAAAGGTTTAAACATATTTTATTTTACACCATTAAAATATATTTATTTTAATGCTACTTATCTAAAAACATTGAAATATTATTATTTATATGACGTACACCGGAAAACTGATAAATTGATAATAATACACAGTATAGTAAATACAATAATCTATTTCGAGTTCTGTTTTTAATAAAACCCTCTTAATATTACAACAACAACAACAAAAATTACACAATTTAATTTTTCTATTTTAACGAGTTCTAATAATAGAAAACAAAATATAATTGTAAAATAATATTTAATTAAAATTTGATTTGAAAAATGACATTTTCTTTTGGCTTAGTATTTCAAAAGCTTATTCCGAGAATAAGCACTCCCAATTTTTGACATTTTTCATTTATAAAGCTATTCCAAGCTTATATTTCAAAAGTACATATGTATATATGTTTGAAATTTCATAAATAAATCTGTTTTGCCATAAAAGTGTTGTGGTAAAAATAAAATTACAGTAGTATATAATTCCAATACATGAACACTATTCAAATTTGTTGTTCTTACATCTACATGTGTATTAGCTGATAAATATGAATTAAAATTTATTTTTATCAGATTTAATAGAGACTCTTGTCACCACAATTTTAACTTAAATATTGTATATTTAAGCATTTAATTCGAGTATCTACGATATATGTATATGAGTATAACATGTTATATAATAGTAACATATTATTTTAATATTTTTTTGTATTTATTAAGTACAATGTATGAAAAATAATAAATATTGTTCTGTTAATTATTTGAGAGTCAGTTCTATTTTACGAACGATGAGAATAGCGAACGAAGGTCCTCTGTTTCTATTAAGAAACTAAACCAATCCCCATTTATAAAATGTTTAAGCACTTTATTAATGTTTTTATAATTTATACTGTAATGTACTTAAGAGGGCGTCACAGTAGAAAAAAATCGACCGTAAAACATGCTTTCGTACTTCCAATAGTTCTCAGGCCTCGTTGATCGTAGAAACATGATTTTGGTATCAAAATAATTCACGAAGTTGTACTAAATATTCTTGAACAGAATTTTAAAATATTTTCTAACCAATTATTTGTGTTTGAAATTGTAAAATTTTCATTTTTAAAAATTATATAAAATCGGCAGTAAGAGTATCAAAATCTGTTCAAGAATATTGGTACAACTCGTGGGTATTGATACAAACTCGCTCATTTCTACAATCAACAGTATCACATACATAATAGACAATATATATATAGTATATAGTTGTAAACTATGTATATACCCTGGTCTGTATGGTAGTCACTCAAGTGTCCAGCAAAGTTTTGCGTTTTCAGTTACTTTTAGAACTCTTTGTCCACCATACATAATTATCCCGGTATTTAAATATTTGACTTACCTATCATATTTGGACGAGCTGGAAGTTTGTTTGATGCTGCACTGATGTTTAATACACACAGCTAGTGCATAATTTGTTGAAGGAGTAGCTAAATAGCAATAATAATGAATTTTCTGCCTTATCTCGCTACTTCACTTTATGGATACCTTAACGTTAATTCATATACACCATTTCTTTTATATTCTCGTGCTGCAAATTGAATCATATTTTAAATCTCGTGTTTTTCTTTATTTTGTCTATTAACTATGATATAAATTATATATGCTTGTTGATGGATGCTGACTGCTTACAGCACGGTTACCATGATTGAACATTATGCTATATTAAGCATGTGGTTTAAAACAAATGTTATTAGGTGTACATAATATAATGCAAAAGTCAGTCTGTAAAACAATGTATATTATAATATTAACCTTGTATTTTACAGTTGTAAATACTGGTAGTTAATCGGGCAGATGAGTGTTAGTTTAAAAGTGAGCGATATAATAAAATGCCGCTTGAGCGTATTTTATTGTACTGCATGATGCGACATGCCCTGTATAAGGGACAACGCGTATAAAAATACGAACATTTTGAATGGTTTATTTTGTATGACGTGTTTGTACAAATTGTCTAAACGTTGAACCTTCAAATACGTCCTTCGTTGCCATATATCACGTTCACTTGTTACAGTACGGATAGGTGATAGTGGAATTTTCAATATGGATTGTCACTTATGCGCACCATCACTGAACTCAGTTGTATTATTTGTTCACTATTCGAAACCGGACGATGATGATAATAAATTGTTCACTTCACACTCCTTATAATAGGTGGCAAGGCATTCGTTATTATTGTGCCATAACATTGTTTTCTTTATGACGGTAAACACAAAGATCGTTTGAGCCAATTTAAGTCGTGTTATTGTTAATGATTATTGTTATTATTGATTATTGGCTGTTATTGTTAATTATTGTTATTTGCATTAAACATGTGAGCTACAGTGTATTCATTATTGGTTACATACGTTTACGGTTACGCACATGCGGTTACGTTACACACGTTGGTTACAGTTGATTTACGGTTACACACGGTTGGTTACCCACGGTTACGGTTACGGTTACGTTGGTTGGTTATTGGTTACCCACACAGTTGGATTTACCCACGTTGTGGATTACCACGGTTGGTTCCCGGTTGTTCCAGGTGGTTCCTTCGGTTGAACGAAGACGGTTACACGGTTACGCGTTTGGTTACACACGTTACGTTGGTTGTTATTTACCGCGTTGGTTACCTTTTACACACATTTATTTGGTTGTTGGTTGCCATTACCACGGTTACCGGTTGGATGATTACGTTTGCCACCACACACGGTTCCCGGTTCCCCGGTTGCGGATTTGCCTGGTTGGTTGATTCGTTCCCACCTTTACCACGTTGCCTTTGGTTGGTTCACACGGTTTATTTACGTTCCCATACCTTTTATTTTGGTTACCTTCCCACACGTTACGGTTGTACGTTTACGTTCCCACGGTTACCACGGTTTACATTTAGATTTGTTGTTGCAAGTTGCCGTTGAAGATTTGCCACGGTTGCCTTCATTTTACGGTTACCTGGATTTACGGTTGCCCACATTGCCGTTCCCGGTTGATTTACGGTTACCGTTCCCGTTACGGTTCTGCCTTTGCTGCCCTTGCGGTTACGGTTTACGCATTTTGTTGGTTATTTACGTTC